CAAGGAGCTCCGAGTCTACTGCAGGGAGAGAAACAGGTAAAAAAATAAAGTTGTTGGGGCCGGCCTGGTGGTGCACTGCTACAGTGCGCCGCTTGGGAAGTGCAGCGGCCCTCCCGCCAAGGGTTCGGATCCCACATGCAGACTGGCCGCTCACTGGCTGAGCGAGGAGCGGGGGCAACACCGAGGGTTGCAATCCGTTGCCGGTCACGAAAAAAGACAAAAAGACAAAAAATTTTAAAAAAATTTAAAAAAAAATAAAGTTGTCAATCATGAAGAAAAATGAGGAAAGTATTTGTCTACCTTCTAGCCAGACAGTATCTTCTGAAAGCAAATCTGACAATGTCTTAAAGCCCTTCAATTGTTGGCAGTGTCTACACAACCTCAGTTCTGTACAAGGCTTTTACAGTGTTGTGGCTCCCCGCCGATGTTTCCAGGTTCATCATCCGCCTCCCATCCTGCACCCGCATCCGAAGCTCCAGTCCCACCAGCTCCTCACGGTGCTTGGACTCTGCCACATCCACGCTGCTCCCCCCTCCTGTCCACAGACCTCAATGGCGACAGCTACCCTTCTGTGAACATCTAAGGTGTGCCAGGCATTTACCCTAAGTTATCTCACTTAATCCTCACCACAACCCTGTAGTGTTGACGGTATCCTCATCTACAAATAAGAAAACTGAGACCCAGAAAGGCCAAGAAAACTTGCTCAATCAAGTTCACAGACCCAGAAAGTGACGAGGCCAGCTTTTGAGCCCAGTTATGTCCTACTCCAAATCATAGCTAGATCGCTTCTCTCTTATCCACCGGATAAACTCCCACCACGCTTCAGGTCTCAGGTCAAATGCATCTCCTTCACAGGGCCCTTCATGGCCTGCCCAATCAAGTAATTCTTTCGCACTTCCCTGGTGACTTGCGCTTCTGTTATGACCCTTGTTACCTTGTGCTGCCATAATTTGTTTACTTGTCTGTCTCTTCCAAAACCCTGCAAGCACCTGCTCAAAGTGACCGTGTGCTCCTATCTCTAAAACCTCCATAATGAACTGTCCCCCTGACATATAATCGGCATTTAATGAACACCCATTGAACAAATGGATTAATGAATGCTTCCCAACCTCTTTTCTCAAAATTGAGATAGAAACTCTCAGGACACAATTTACCGTCTTCATATCTTAACACAGTCAGGTCAGGACATCAGATGCCCCTAGTCTGAAAGTGCAACCTTTTTTTTTTTTTTTTTTTTTAAAAAAGATGACCGGTAAGGGGATCTTAACCCTTGAATTGGTGTTGTCAGCACCACGCTCACCCAGTGAGCCAACCAGCCATCCCTATATAGGGATCCGAACCTGTGGCCTTGGTGTTATCAGCACCGCACTCTCCCGAGTGAGCCACGGGCCGGCCCTGAAAGTGCAACCTTTAAAAAAAAAAAAAAAAGGAGGGGCAGCACTATAGCAGTGCAGTAATAGTGCCTCAAAATGTAGATTCTTGGAAATTTAATCATGCCTCCAAGAGCCCCCCTCCAGGAACTGAACACAGATTCTAATAGGGAGTGTTGTCAGCTACACTGACCACACCGTCACTGAAAGCGATTTCACTCTAGGGTAATTTAACCCAGTACATTGGGGCTACTGGAAATTCTGGGAACCGTATCTCATAAACAAAAGGGTGAAGTATGGTAAGGGGAATGCATTTATATGTATTTAGACATTTAAAAAAATAATATTCAAATCATATGTAAATGACTCACCAGTGAGTCACAATATGACTTTTTTTTACTCAACAGTTCAGCTGCTTTTACACATTACCAGGGTTTCAGTACATCAGCCATAACATATAGCTTCTCTTTGTACCCGACCTGCAGGCTTTGTATCTGGGCTAGGCAAACAGGCTCTTTACGGGAGTATCTTGATCAATTAAGGGTTCTTTCTCTTTCTCTTGGCAGCTGGCCAGTATGGGGATCCAAACCCATGACCTTGGTGTTATAAGGCTGCGCTCTAACCAACTGAGCTAACTGGCCAGCCCTCACTTAAAGGCTCTTAAATTTTTTGAGTTATAAGCTTTCTGGAGGGCTGATGAAAGCCATGGATAAATGCATCCCCAGATAAATGCACAGAGACACAAATTCTCCCTACAAATAAAGGAGGTTCCTGAACCCTCTCCTAACATCCATTCAGGGCTCTTAGTAGTTCAGAGGCCCAGAAAGAAAATGCCTGAATGTGACTTCTTCCAAAGTGTTTGGATTAGAGAAGTTTTTTTAGAAAAAGAATCACAGTGCTGGGGTTCAATGGCTTCTGCTTCTGTAACCAATCAGATTCACTCTTGCAGTCAAGGCTCTGAAAGCAAATGCTAACCTCAGGAATGATCCAGCTGCAAGGTCTGATTCTACACCTGATTAGATATCTGGACTTGGGACTAAGGAATGGCAAGGGCCTGAGGAAAATCAGGCTGTCTCTGTTTCTACCTCCACAGGCAAATACAGACATAAATACACTTCTCCAAAGCAACCACAGATTAACTCCCTAATGCTCCCAAACCACACCTTTCCCAGAAAACTCATACCTGCCACCCCCTGAGAGCCAGCTGGTTGTAACAAACTACTTACAACTTCAGAGCTAGTTTACTAGCAGGTTTGCAAAGCCCTAGCAAAGACATCACAGACAACAGCATTCCAGCCAGACAGTAAACTGCTTGCAGCAAATTGTTTTTGATCCAAACACAGTAGCAG